CAGTGGTGTGATCTCGGCTCACTGCAACCTCTACCTACTGGGTTCAAGCGATTCTCCTGCCTCAGCCTCCCGAGTGGCTGAGATTACAGGCACGCACCATCACATCTGGTATTTTTGTATTTTTAGTAGAGATGGGGTTTCACCATGATGGCCAAGCTGGTCTTGAACTTCTGACCTCAGGTGATCCGCCCGTCTCAGCCTCCCAAAGTGCTGGGATTACAGGTGTGAGCCACCGCGCCTGGCCAATAGTTGTTTTTTAAGAATATATATATATATTTTTTAAAAGAATAGTTTTAAATGTACAGAAAAGTTGGAAAGATAGTGCACAGAGATCCCATGTAGCCTGTACACAGCTTCCCCTGTTGGGCAGTTTTACCTTAGTGTGGTGCATTTGCCACAATCACTGAACCGATGTTGATACATTGTTATTAACTAAAGGCCATACTTTATTGGACTTTTCTTAGATTTTCTCTAAAGCCTTTTTCTGTTCCAGGCTCCCACCCAGGACACCACTTTACATCTAGGTGGTGTGTCTCCCGAGGCTCCTCTTGGCTGTGACCGAGTCTCGCATTTGGTTTTCTGGGGACCTTGACAATGTGAGGTATGCTAGTCAGGTGTTTTGTAGAGTGTCCTTCCATTGGGAAGTGTCTGATGTTTTCCTCATTCTTTGACTGGTGTTACGGGTTTCTGAGACGAAGGCCACAGAGGTTGAGTGCCACTCTTATCACATCATATCATGGGGACTGTCTGACACCTTTTTTTTTTTTTTTGAGACGGAGTCTCTCTCTGTCACCCAGGTTGGAGTGCAGTGGTGCGATCTCGGCTCACTGCAACCTCTGCCCCTGGTTTCAAGCGATTCTCCTGCCTCAGCCCCCCAGGTAGCTGGGATTACAGGCGTGTGCCACCACACCTGGCTAATTTTTGTATTTTTAGTAGAGACAGGGTTTCCCCATGTTGGCCAGGCTAGTCTCGACCTCCTGACCTCAGGTGATCCACCCACCTTGGCCTCCCAAAGTGCTGGGATTACAGGTATGAGCCACTGTGCCTGGCCCTCTGACACCTTTTTTAAAGCCCTATTTTATATTTCCAATGTGAGGGCTCAGAACCTCTTCAAACCCAAAGGATTGCTCCTTGGTGGCAGAGATGGAGGCCCCACACATACTGTCCTGGCCTCTGGCATCGGACGGACAATGGCAGGAGGCATGCATCATTGGTAATACCCCCTGGGTTGTGTGGTTGGAAACAGACAATAACATGGTTGTGGGGAAGTAGAGTCCCTGCTGGTCATCCCATCATTTAGGGAGACTGGCTCTGGGCCATCCTCATGTGCTATTGGAGGCTGCCTGAATCCTGGCTAGGATGAAGAGCTCTCCTGTGTCTCAGTAGGCCGGCTACCCACTGTCCCACCACCACTGTCCCCCAATCCCCTCTTCTCCCATGCTATGACCCTGTTCCATTCCTGCCAACCTCTTCTTCGCACTCAGGAGACAGGACCAGGGCTTGATTGTGAAACTTCTTGTCTCTTGTTACCATGGCAGTACGTCTACTGGTTATCAGAACTAGGGACTGAAGGGGTGTGCACTCCAACCAGCTTGAAAGTCACTGTCCTGAGTATCTACGACTAATTAAAGGGTAAAAGGAATTCATCCTTCTGGATCATACGGCTTATCAGGAGACATGAGAGCCACAGGAATAGGTTAAAGAGAAAGGTAGGGAGCCTTTTCTGGGAACTCTAACACCTCTGGTGAGTTCTCACCTTACCTTTTGTTAGAGAAGAGTTGGGACTGTTCATGCAGGGAGTCAGATGTCTGGAGAAACGGCTTCGTGTGATCGAGTGAGTTCACTGCTGGAGGGTTTACCTGTTGGCCCCAGAGGGAGTTTCACAGTGTTAGCTTGAATCTAATGCCATAGGAAGATGTTCTTGATGTAATTCTTTTTTTCTTTTTGAGATGGAGTCTCGCTATGTCGCCCACGCTGGAGTGCAGTGGCGTGATCTCGGCTCACTGCAACCTCCGCCTCCCGAGTTCAAGCAATTCTCCTGCCTCAGCCTCCCGAGTAGCTGGGATTACAGGCGCCCGCCACCACACCCAGCTAATTTTTGTATTTATAGTAGAGACGGGGTTTTGCCAGGCATGGCCAGGCTGGGCTCGAATTCCTGACCTAAGGTGATGTGCCCACTTTGGCCTCCCAAAGTGCTAGGATTACAGGCGCGAACCACAGTGCCTGGCCTTGATGTAATTCAAGCTATAAAAGTTAGTGTACACAACGCGTATGGCCAAAAACAAATCTAGACATGGTAATGACCATAATGATGGGCGTCAACATATTGTCTAGGGACGGTAGAATTATGGGTAATATTTAATTTATGCTTTATGCTTTCCTGTGCTTTCCAAGTTTTCCAAGTTGAACATGTATTCCTTTTTAAAGATAGAAAAGAAATGTTTAAAATGTTATCTTCATTCTTCAAAAATACTTTCTGGTTTTGCTTCTCCTTGTCCCAAAAACCCCCTACTAAAGTCAGGAGACATCCACTGAGCACTTTGTGTAGGGGAACAGCTCTGCCATGGTGCTCTGCAAGTTGCACGACCCCACATAGGCCTCAAGAGCAAGGCATACATCACAGCTGGTCTAAGTCTTGGCAGAATGCCCTGTAACCCTCCTGGAACGTGAGCCATACAGGAAGCTTGCGAGTGGTTGCTACTAGGTTATTTCCCACTTGCTTCCCTATCTTCCCAGAAGGTTATCCTAGAAGTTTCTTGTCACCTCTCTTGTTCCGATAAGGTTTGGAGCTTTCTGCCTCTGCCCACTCAGGGTACAGCTGCAGGCTATAGAACTGCTCAGAGGCAGTATGGAATTGGCCCCTCTGTACCGGTGTATTCCACCATCCCCCTTGCTGTCATCTGGTCCCTTTTGTTTCAGTGACATCCTGTGGTGCAGAGGACACATGGAGCTGACACCCTTGCCTACTCAGGCTTTCGCTGTCTCTGTAAGTCATACACTGTCTGAATGTGTCAGCTTTGCCTGGACACTTCCCGAGTTTCACTGGATGACCCTTGTCGACGGGTCAGTGGTGGACTCCCTTGGGCGCCAGCTGAGGAAGGCCTCATTCACTGATGAACTTGCTAGGAAGGGCTCTTAACCTGGGGTCCACAGACAGAATCCAGGGGCTCTGCCAATGTGGATGGGAACCAATCACATCAGTATTTTCCCTAGCTGCTACCTGAAATTATTTCTTTCAGTGATAAGTGTAGACAACAAACCACAGAAGTATTAGCAATACCTGTGACTTTGTCACCCACAGAAATCAAGCATATTTTCGTATCACCTGACAGTTGGTGCAGAGATCTTGAAATATTGTGTCATTTCATCATTACTTTGAAGTTATGATAAATATTGGGCCCACACCTAGATCTTATTAATTAATGCATTTTAAAAGTGGTACATGTATTCCCAGACCATAACTCAGAATATTTTGATAACTGTATTTCATTCTAACTAGTTTTCTTTGTTATCTCATGTATTTAATTTTATCCAAATATTCTTCTCTGTTGTCCTGCCACATGGCCACTTGGTATCACACTGGTTATTGCTTGCCTATGTCCTTGGCAAATCATCTTCTCTGGCTCTCAGATTTCTTGTCCTTAAAATGAAGGGATCAGCCTGTCAGATAATCACTAAGCGTTCTGCCAGCCAGACAAGTGATCTGATTGTGCGTATTTTGGCATTTCTGCTGTGCCACAACTGAAGCGTTCCATGAGGAAAACTGAAACTGGGATTTTGTGCTTACACTTATGGACAGGTTATTTCAGCCTTCATCAAACAGAAAACTTCTAAGAATTTGTCTAGAAAATATGCAAAAAATTATCTACACATTATGTTTTGAGTAAAAAACTAGAAACCACCTAAATATTCAATGATAGGAGATTAAAACATATTTATATGATGGAACAGAAACAGCCATTAAAACAATGCTGTAGGATAATAACATGAAAAAATAGCCATGCTGTACAATTAATTTTTTTGTTTGTTTGTTTTTGAGACGGAGTCTCGCTCTGTCGCCCAGGCTGGAGAGCAGTGACACGATCTCGGCTCAATGCAAGCTCTGCCTCCCGGGTTCATGCCATTCTCCTGCCTCAGCCTCCTGAGTAGCTGGGACTACAGGCGCCCGCCACCTCGCCCAGCTAGTTTTTTGTATTTTTAGTAGAGACGGGGTTTCACCATGTCAGCCAGGATGGTCTCAATCTCCCGACCTCGTGATCCGCCTGCCTTGGCCTCCCAAAGTGCTGGGATTACAGGTGTGAGCCACCACGCCTGGCCTACAATTAATTTTTTAAAAGCCATTTGCGATACTTGAACAGCTATATGATTTATTACTATTATTATTGTTTTGAGACAGGGCCTTGCTCAGTTACCCAGGTCAGAGTGAAGTGGGTCTATCACTGCTCACTGCAGCCTTGACCTCCCAGGCTCAAGCACTCTGCCCATCTCAGACTCCCAGGTAGCTGAGACTATAGGCACATACTACCATGCCTGGCTAATTATTTTTATGTTCATTTTGGTAGAGACAGGGTCTTGCCATGTTACCCAGGCTGGTCTTGAACTCCTGGGCTCAAGTGATCCTCCTGCTGCAGCCTCCCAAACTGCTGGGATTACAGGCATGAGCCACTGTGCCCAGCCTGATTCTATTTGCATAAAAACATATGGATATATATGCATAGAAATCAAGGTAAAAGAATATAATCAAACATGTTAATATCAATTACATTTAAGTAGGGAAATTATGATTTTTACTTTCTTTGTGTTGTTCTGCATAGTAAAATTTCTATAATTCATATTCACACATATATGACTGTGATAAGAAAAACAATAAATGTTGTCAATAGGAAATCACTGGAGAATATCATACAAAGCATTGGCGGCAAACCCACTGAGTTTTGGGAGCTGCATCTTTTATCCCTAATTTTTCCATTAATCAGGCAGAATTTTAGGCATGAGAGCAAGGAAACAATGAACCCCTGACCTTCCGTCATCCTTGTCACCACAGTGAGCACCTGCTTCATGAGCAGGGGCTGAGAACACGGGGGCCTGTGGGCCAAAGCCCCCACTGTGTCTCTTGACAGCCCCAATGGGGCTGCATGACTGGCCCCTCCCCAGCTTCCCTGATGTTCCCCAGGCCATACCTGCAGGTTGGTGGCCTCCTCTGCCCACCAGACTTCAAACTCTTTCTGTAGCTTCACCTTGGCTTTGTCCATGAGCAGCTGCAAGTGCTCGATCTCCACCTTCAGGGCTTTCAGGCGAGTGAACATTGTTTTATACCTGCGGTGGAATTGGGGAAGAGTCAGTGCACTGCTGTCTTGAAAGCATGGCATGGAGCGGGGGCTGTAAATGAATCCCGTGTCTCAGAGTCCTGGCAGAGCTGCCCTAGTGCTCAGGGACTGGGACCCTACAGGAGCTTCGGAGGCCAGGCTACGGCACCAGGGTTTGAGTCCATCACAGAAAAGCAGAGGGAGACATTTTGGTCCAGTAGGCCCATAGGAATCTGTGTGTGAGATGAATGACCTCTCCCCCAAGAATGAGAACTGCCATTTGCTGAGCACTTACTAAAGCATAAGCACTGCTGCAGGCACTCAACATACACAAGCTCATGTAATCCTCACAACCCTATGGAGGAGATGCTATGATTAATACCTCTATTTTACAGATTCGGAACCTGAGACAGGTATGAAGAGGTTATATAACTTGCTCTATGGGACAGAGATAACTGAGGAGCCAGGATCTGAACCTAGGTGGTCTGGTTCTAGAACCACAGTCTTAACTGCCTCGTCATTCTACTGGCTCACCTTCATGCTGAGGACCAAAATTAACACTGTGCTTATGAATGCACACATATATTGGTTTTGGGAATGCTAGAATGAATCAGAAATTGTCCAACAGGAAACAGTCCAATAAACAGGCCGAAGATATAAGTTGGCCTCTAAGATGACACTGAGATTGGAAATGTGGGCCAAGGGGACAAGATGAAGATGGAGTAAAGACACAAGAAGAATGGGTTGGAGGCTGGGTGCAGTGGCTCACGCCTGTAATTCCAGCACTTTGGGAGGCCGAGGCAGGCAGATCACCTGAGGTCAGGAGTTTGAGACCAGCCTGGCCAACATGGCAAAACCCCGTCTCTACCAAAAATACAAAAATTAGCCGGGCGTGGTGAGGGGTGCCTGTAATCCCAGCTACTCTGGAGGTTGAGGCAGGAGAATTGCTTGAATCTGGGAGGTGGAGGTTGCAGTGCACTGAGATCGCACCACTGCACTACAGCCTGGGAAACAAAGTGAGACTCCGTTTCACACACACACACACAAAAACCAACAAAAAAACAAAAACAAAAAAAGAATGGGTTGGAAAGAAACTGAGGAAAATGAACAAAGCGAGGGAGAAGAGAAAGTGGACGACTGGGGAGGGCCCCAAGGGAGTGGAGAGCGACAGCAGCGTGTGGGCTCAGGTAGTCAGGGCTTTCTGTAGGAAGACACCTGCACATCTGCTAGGAGCCACCTGAAGACCAGCACCTGGAGCTTTGATCTCCCAGGTGTGGGTAGCGGGGCAGGGGAGGTGCATGCCAGGTCAGCTGGGGGTTGGGGTGAGGAAGGGAGTGTGCTGCAGTGACACCACCAGCTCCTTGAGGCAGGAAAGGTGACTTTAGTCTCTCCAGAGCCTACCCATGGCATGGGGGAGATAGCACACATGTGCTAAATGCATCAATGAATGAATGGATGCAGCTTGATCAGCATGTGGAGCAAGATTCGATGACCACGCTGTATATCAGGAATGGCTACATGTCTGTTTATGCTTGAGGCTCCTCACTCTGTAAGTGAAGTCGTTTGGAGACCCCAAATGCCTGCAGCTGCGTGAGAGTATGACGTTCTCAGGACTCAGAGGGAAGTGGGCTTCAGCCACAGGCATGCGGAAGACCACTGTGGTCATCCTTCTTGGCTCCTGTAGGTGGCAGCAGTGGACAAGCCCAGCTACTTCCCGGGCCTGGCTTGGCTTGTTCTACATTCTAACCTCACGTTGCCTAGGGTCCTGCCTTTCACACCTGCCTGCTCAAAGGCAGCCCCTCCTCCTCCTGCTATTCTAGGATCCAGCTGCTGGACCCACGTCCCTGAGTAGCTGCAGCCTTGGGCAGCTCCAGGATGACACTGAGACCCTGGGAGGCTGGGCTCGGGCTGTGTGTGGCTAAAAGGAAGGGCACCTTCTCTTTTCTCCCTCCAGTTGTGATCGCAGCTTCTCCTCCTGCTGGTCTGGCATCAGAGGCACCGCCATGTTTTCCGAGATTCCTGTAGAAGGAACGCAATGGGATGGTGAGAAAGAAAGGTAAAAGGAAAAAGTGTGATATCTGGGCAGATGACAGAGTTCAAGGGCACCCCAGGAAGAAGGGGGCGCCTGTGAGTTCCTTCTGGGGCCTCTTGGTGGCAACCTCTGCTCAGCTGAAAGCCCTGAGAGGAGCGGCTTCCAGGGTTATTGTCCCTCTGCTGTCCCTCCCACTGCCAACATCTGTCACTGGAAGGGAATTCTCCCTCTACTAATCTTTTCACTATTGAGCTCATTCATTTCCTGTTGAGTCTCCAGGGAAGATGCAAAATAGCATTTCCCCGTCCTCTGATAAAGAGCCCTTCAGCGCTAGGCACGGTGGCTCATGCCTGTAATTCCAGCACTTTGGGAGGCCTAGGCAGGCAGGTCACCTGAGGTTAGGAGTTCGACACCAGCCTGGCCAACATGGTCAAACCCCATCTCTACTCAAAATTCAAAAATTAGCCGGGCGTGGTGGCAGGTGCCTATAGTCCAAGCTACTCTGGAGGCTGAGGCAGGAGAATCGCTTGAACCCAGGAGGTGGAGGTTGCAGTGAGCCAAGATCGCACCATTGCACTCCAGCTTGGGTAACAAGAGAGAAACTCCATAAGAAAAAAAAAAAGCGCTTCACAAACAAGGAAACCTTTCTAAACCATCTGACATCTTTCTCTGCACAAGTGGAGTGCTGAATTTCCAGCCTCAGAATCGTGTCTCCTGTTTTTCACTCCCTCTGCAGCAGTGGTTCTCAAGCCTGATGAACTCAGGCCATGTTAATTCACAACTAAGGTTGAGCCCAAGCCATGGCTACCGGACCATGATGGGGCCGGGGGAGGGCTGAGGACATCAGCAGGTATCAGCTGCTGCGCGTGTCTGCGTCCCTCTGATGCCAACCTCTGTCTTCCCCCACGTGACCGCCACTGGTTGCCTGCTCTGGCTAATGTGCGCATCTGAAGCCAGCTCTCTCCTAGCCCAGAGTATGGGGACTTTTTATTCTCCTAGGAGTCTCTTCGTGGCTGCCCTGCTTTTCTGAGCTCCATAGACAACATCTTAGAAATCACACAGCCCTGCTTTTTACTCCATGTAGGGGAGATTCAGCTGTGGTCCACATGCTTCCAGACGTGCTCCGACTGAATCCTTATAGTATTTATTTGCCACAAGTGTTATTACTCCCATTTTACAGATAAGGACACTGAGGTTCAAAGAGGGTAAACTGCCCAAGCTAGGTGGCTAACTTCAGGAACCTTGGATTCAAAAATTCCTTTGAAAACATTTCTGACAGAGGGTCATCTGCTTTCTGCTCAAATACTTCCAGGGATGAGGAGCTCACTACTTGGCAGGATAGCACATTTCATGGTGGACAGCTCTGTTTCCTCCTACTTTTGAGCCAAGACATTTCCCACTAACTTCTTTTCACCTCTGCTTTGGCTCTTTGGAGCAGCATAGCATATTTTTCTTCTTAATCCGATGGTCCTTTAAATATCTGAACAACAACATCAAAATACCACATGTGTCTGGAACTTTTTTTTTTTTTTTTTCTCTGAGACGGATTCTTGCACTGTCACCAGGCTGGAGTACAGGGTGCGATCTCCACTCACTGCAACCTCTGCCTCCCAGGTTCAAGCGATTCTCCTGCCTCGGCTTCCTGAGTAGCTGGGACTACAGGTGCGCACCACCACACCCAGCTAATTTTTGTATTTTTAGTAGAAACGGGGTTTTACCATGTTGGCCAGGATGGTCTTGATCTCTTGACCTCAAGATCCACCCGCCGTGGCCTCCTAAAGTGCTGTGATTACAGGCGTGAGCCACTGCACCCAACCCCCCTTTTTTTCTTAGACTGACTCCTGCTCAATCTCTCCCCTGAAGTTTCAGCGACCTGGTTACTTTCCCATTTATCTTAAGTATGAAGCCTAGGTCTGGACATAATAATTCCATAGGTCTGAAAGGTACAGAGTAGAGTAGGGCTTCTCTTACCTTTTAAAAATTTAAGCTCTATATTTTTGTAGTAGGTGAATTACTAACAATGACCATTTATTGGGGGCTTTCTGTGTGCTAAGTTCTGCCAAATTCTACTAGGCACTGGTCGAGGTCCTCTATGTACCCTATTGCTAATTCTCAAAACAACCCTTCAAGGATGGCATTGCCATCTTGTTTCAACCAGATTCTTAGTCTCAGAGAGGGCCATGGATAACACAAGGTTACACAGCTGCTAAATAGCAGAGCTGGGACGTGAACCCATTTGTTTTTTTTCTGATTCCTCTAAATGTTTCTACCAGACAGCCTCCCCAACACTGCTTGTGATTTTTAGCAGCTCTGTCGTGGTTGGCCCCTATTAAGCTTGTGGTCAGTTTTAAAACTTGCATGTTTTTTTAAATAAGTGATTGTGTCAAAATGCATTCTGTTTCAGTGTGATTGTCCTTTTGATCCTGAAGGTACCACTTCACATTTATTGGCAGCCTAGCCTGCTGAAGGTCCTTATTCTGTCACGTCATTATTCTTCCCCTTTGACTTCCTTACCCATTTGTTACCTGTGTTTTTTATGTCATTAGCTTATTGATAACTATGCTAACTGGATCATGGTTCTGTCTGTCATCTTCCAGGTGCCAGTGACCCCCTTTTCCTTGTGTCAATTGCCAACTTTAAATTGACAGGAAGAGCAAGTGTCTTATTTCATTATCTAAACACAGGAAATGCAGATACCATCGACATCCCACCTGAAGTCCACACTGTCGTCTGTGTTCGTGCAATTTACTGGTTCAGATGAGGCAGCCCGCCTGTCCACATCACCCTCAGCCCCCAAGTCTCAGGCACAGGAAGCTCTCAAGGGCAGAGATTGGGGTCCTCCTGCTCTGAGTGTCTTCCCCCAGTGCTGTGTTCAGACTCCATGTATAGGGTGCACTCAGTGCCTCGCATGTTTGCTGGTCTTGTCTTCTTTGAAAGTCGTCAGACAAAATAAACTGAAGGAAGTATCTTAACATGAAACTGACAACAGCAGGACTTTCAATGGACAAATTATTTCCTTTTTAAAAAGTTTCAGAAATGGGCCCAGGTATCTTCCAGACTGCTAAAAAAGAAAAACGGGAAACCCCCTCCCCCCTTTAAAAACTTTGGCCCCACCCCAAGGGCACCCCTGAGAAATTCAGTGAAGCCCCCCTCTGCTGTGACTGGCTAGACGTCCTGCTGCAAGCCCAGCATGTGAGAGGCTGCTGGAGGCAGGTGGAGGAAGAGCTGCTGGACTCACACAGGCCCATCTCACCCGGCCAGAAGAGGTGGTCTCCAGGGCTTCGTGAACAGACAGCAGAAGGTAGAAGGGCCGGCCAGGCCGGCCTGCTCTTCCGTATAAAAGCTGCGGTCACCCCGTGTGAACGCAGAGCCCCTCTGTAGGAGGCAGGCTCTTGCCTTGCCCCATGGCTGGTTGTCTTTTCCTTGGGCATCTTGCAGGTTCCCCCGCAGGTCACAGCGTCTCAGGTGCCCTGGAAGTGTGTGGGGTGTTCAGGAGCCTTAGGCAAGGAGCACATTCTGAATGCCTCTGACACAAGCATGGAATGATAACATCAGCGCCATCTGAGGAGTCACTGGAGCCCAGTCCCCGCGCAACACCGCTTTCATTCTCACCACCCCAGCTGGCAGACATGATCACCTCTGCTTCAGTCCGGAAGACAAAGGCTTAGGGTGACTAGGTGGCTTGTGCGATGCCACAAAGCAACCAAATAGCGCCAGGCTTTGGATCCAAGTCTAGTCACTCATCTGCTTATTTAACAAATGTTTATCGAGCATTGACTATGTGTCTGCCCCTGTTCTAGGGGGATTTCAGGGGGGAAGACAGACACTAAAACAACAAATAATCGAGTCTGCAGCGTCATGCCGGGGATCGGAAGGTGCTGTGAGGAAAGATGAAGCGGGGTAAAAAGACAGGATGACAGGGTGGAGGGCTGCCATGCTAGGTGGGGGGTGAGGGCCTCTAAGCGGGGGGACATATGAACAGTGGCCTGAATGGAGGGAGGGAACAGGCCTGCAGAAATCGGGGCACAGAGTGTACAACAGTAAGTGCAAAGGACCTGAGGTGTGAGCCTGCTTGCTGCATCTGACAACAAGGAGAAGGCCAGGGCGCCTGAGTGGTTGGTAAGGGAAATCGTGGTGGGAGCTGAAGTCGGTGAAGAAACTGAGACCAGACCCTGGCGGATCTTGTGAGCCACGGTAAGGACACTGGCTTTGAGAGAGATGGGAGGCTGGAGTATTTTGAGGAGAGGAATAGGCTCGATCTATTCCTTTGAAAGCTTTTGAGTGTTTTTGTGTTTTGTGTTTTTT